CTTCCATAGCCTCGAAAAACTCATTTTTTTCTCTATGAAGACTTGACTTTTTGGAAGTCCCATACGAGACTTTTTTATTCAATTTGATCAGCTCTTTCGAATGAGATGTTCCGCAAAAGAATCGAATTAAAAATGACGAAGTTATAGGCGAAATACTGGAACAAATCCAAAAACTTTTTTTTTGTACGACTTTTCAGACTCCCCTCTTGTTATCAAGCCTATAACTCCGTTAAATAAGATCTTGAAGATGAAAAAAAATTTTCATAATTTTACTTTTCGAGGAATCGAATGAGATAAAGAAAACTGACATTTTTTTGACTATGTTTCAGCGATTCTCGATGGGCTCGCGGAACCTCTCTTAAATGATGAAAAGAAGCCTAAACATAAATATTATGCGTCATATTAACTACGTTCTGTTGATTCGCAGAGAAGAAAAAAATCCTTATTTTGCTTTGTGACTTGTGTATACTTAGTGACTCTAGATGCTCTGAATACTGCTAGAGAAAGGAAGCGCATACTTCTCATGACGTAAGGAAGCGCATACTTCTCATGACGTAAGGAAGCGCATACTTCTCACGACGTAAGGAAGTACTTAATACTAATGCCATCCAATCACAATGCGATACGCATGACAAATTGAAAAAAAGGAAGCAACAGCAACAACATTTCATGTATAAAAATGGCTTGCAACACTCGTCTTCAATTCATTCTTCTATTTCTTATTACTTCGAAACAAACGAGCATCATCTATGAAAGTCTTCCAATTTCTCTTCATTGCTTTCATTTTGAGCGCAAGTCTTCATCATCAAGTGAATAGTCAAAGTCTTAATTTAAGCTCATGCATATCCGGACAATGGGTTGCATGTGGTATCACTGTAGGCTCGGCCATTTACAAGAAGTACAATTCGTGGAGTGATACCGACGTAAAACAAGCTTTTGGCACAACATGTCATTCACAATTCAAAGGCGGTTTTCATAGTTGGCAATGGAAATGGAGTGGTAAATTCTGGTGTCCATCGTTAAGTTCAACTATCATGGGTGAAAGTACACAATGGAAGAGTCGCAATGGGGCTATCGAGCATGCTATCCAAGATTATGTCACGAAAATGACATCGGCTGGCTTGCTCACTATGTCTCAGCTCAATTCATAACCAATTTCATTTCAATGACATCTATTCTCTCATATTTAATCTGTTTTAATTCTTTCTAATTTTATTCACTTCTCTTTTTTTTCCTAAATAACATTTACTCTTATTTGTTAATAAAGATGAAGAAAAGTTAAGTTATACACATATTATTTACCCATGCCACGAAAACCAGATCACTTTTAGCGGTAAACTCTGGTTAACCGATAATTTTACCAGTTAACTTTTTGTTTTTGTTTTATTTATATATTTCTAAAAAAAGTAAATTAATTTTTTGTATCAAAATTGAGCAGAATAACATGGTCAGTGATAAGTATTATTTCAAGTTAGTGAATAATTTTCTTCCTCTTCTAGAAGGAAAACCGGAAGAGGAGAAAAGAAGTGATGATAGGTTGAAGACCAGAGAGGGTTGTAGTAGAGCAAGAACTTGAACTATAAAACGTATTCGAAGGTGCCCTCAAGATTTAGATGGCTATCACAAGATCATACAAGATCTTATAGTCAGATTGTTTGACCTGGGTGAAATGGCTGGGATAAAGAACTGGGTTAACAATGGTTAACCATAATTTACCACCGATTGACTATGGTGGACCGCGGTTAACTAGAAAAAACTCAGCGGTTAATCGCGTTCACTGGAGAAAAACTGCTCATTTACCGCGATATTGAGAGTTGGGTATTGGTATAAATGCGAGGGAATAGAAGTTCTACCCCTCACTCACACCCTCAAATTTTTTCGAACTGTTCTGCACAGTCCCGTTTGTCCTGTTCATTGAGAAAATGATATAAAAATGCCGTTACTAGCCATGCGGAACAAACGTTTTTTTGTCTCAAACCCAAATGCCCGCTCCAAATATTTTTCAAAATGTCTCGATCCCGATTGCCCCGTGCAAAAAACGTTCAGGACAATCCTGCGTTGACAATATGCATAAAAGATATCAACCCATTTGGAATTTGTAATACCCATTAAAAATAATTTCTTATTCATTTGAATAATTTTATTTAACAAAAAAACCAATGTTTTTAATCATTTATTTTCACATAAAATCAATTTGAATTTATCAATTAAGTATAAAACATGTTCTTTGAAAATAAGCAATATTTTTCAAAATGTTATACTTTGATAAATTTTCATAATTTCATTTATATCTAAATAAGTACTAAGTTTGGTTAATTCTGTAACGGTAGGAACATGTAGATAATGTTCATCAAATCGTTGATTGGAAATGATTAATGTCTTTAAGTCTTTGAAAGTTGTTAATATTTTCATGATAATATCGGTAAGTTGTTGATGCTTTAAATAAGAATATTGTAAACAAAAGTTTATATGTTTAACGTTTGAAAAATAAATATAATCTATTTCTGACACTTCTTCAAGTTGCGAACGTATTATTATATCTAATTGTTGAATACTTTTAATTAATATGAAATCAAGGAATTGACATTTTCCCAAACTTACTCACAAACAGGATAAAATCACATGTTTCAAATTAGGCAATGCGTAAATTAACAATTCTCTTTCACGTTGGGTGTGGGTGTGTGAGTAAAGAGAACAACACCCACACCCGCATAGCTAAAGCTCTTCCTTCTGAATGGTTAAAAGTTATAAACTCGCACTCATGTGACACAAGTCATATAATCTCTCAAGAGGTCATCCAAAAATGGATGTATTCACATAGTTTTACTTTGCTTAAAGAAGAAGCAAACATTTATAAAACTATTATGTGCTGCATAAATGTCTCAGACTCCTCTGTAGATGTGTTACATTCTATTCTGATACGTGAAAAATAATATAAAAAATTCATTTCAAGACGGATAAAACTTTTGTCGTCGACTAATTATTTCGTATAGATTGAATAAACTATTCATTGAATTTGAATTCATTCAGAGAATTCCGAAGTTCCGCTATCAATTGTTCGATTCTGGTCTGTGAAAATAAATCAATTCTGCTTTCAATTAATTTTAGCGAAAATTTTCCTTGTCGAACATTGAAAATTAAATAACGAATTTATCGACATTCATTCTCATATAATTGTTTTATTCTTACGAATTTCTTCCGAAGATCTTTCATTTGTTCTTCAAATAATTCACGCAAACAATATTGAAGATGAAAATTCAATATTTTCAATTGAGAAAATCGTGAAAGTAGATAATTTTCAAGAATTTCGATCTCGTTTGATTCATATGAAAGATATATTGGCATGTATACAGCATATTGATCATAGAACCAATGAATTGGAGTAAGAATATATTTTAATGACTGATGTTCATCAATATTCTTCTGTAGTTCGAGTATTCTTTGATAAACATCTTCGAATTTGATCATTCGATTTAAATCACATATATTCGAATAAACTCTAGTAGAAATGATTTGATCAAGTACAAGTCCATCTTTTCGATTTGGTTTTAATCTCGAGTTATGATCATTTAAATATCCAAGCATTTTATTCATTGTAGAATCAATGTTGTTTCGTTGATCTGGTGGTAATTGGAGGATAAGAAGAAGATGAATTCCATAGATCATCTCAGTGATAATATGCGTCGCAAATGTTTCACATGTTAATAATAACATAGAATGTTTTAGTGTATGTAAAATGTATCCATAAGATTCGATAGATGATTCATGATAAATATATAGAAGACGAGTGTGTTTATCGATCGAATAAGGATAATTAATCAGCGAAACAACATCATTCGCTGGAATCATTTGTAGTTCAATACTCAGCTGTAGTTGATAATCGATATCAACGAGTTTCAGTAGATTTTTACTAAGAGATCTGTGACCTTCGACTAACATGTATTTCTTTTGTCTTCTTGATTCATATGAATGAAGTTTGATGTTTGCATTTAATTTTTCCTTGAGAATATCTGCATATGCATTACAGAATGAACCGAGAGAACCAGTTCAATCGATCGTCATACGTTCTATATTAAATGATGCAGTTTGATTTCGATTGAAATTGTCGTGGTCATGTGATGTGGAGATTGTTGCGTGAAAGGTTTTTCGTATTGGCATTTAATCATCGCGAAGATGACGCGTGAGAAACGAAGGAATATGTCAATATGATGATATAAAACTGTTCGTCGAATACTTGCAATATAACAACAAAAGTCACTTGAAGGATATAAAACGAAATAAAAAGGTGCAGTAATCATATAATAAATCTCCTCTTTCACAAAACAAGCAGAAGAAAAAAAAAGAGAATTTCTTTCTATGAAAAAACCAACCAAGGCATGAGAATGCAGAACATTGAATTTAACTTCATATTCATCTTTTCAGAATCGAATTTTACCAAAAAATGACATGTAGTTTCTGTAAGAAAAAAAAATCCGTACGATCAGTAGATTTTTTTGCTGAATATGTATGAATAGGATAAGGGTAAACTTTTGTAATACAAATAAATGTTTCATACAAAGATACGATGTGACAATATACTGTCTGAGTTTGATAAACCATTCAAAGTTTCACCGATAGTTCATCTTGAAATTTTCGATTCTTGATTTTCATTTTTCTGTTTGATGATGTTTAATAGCGGTAAAATCATATAAGAGTTCGTTCAATTTTTGTATATATATTTGCAGATAACAATATTACAAAAAATTCCCGACAATATATCAACACTTCATATGTTCATTCTAAACTCTTGCTAAGTAAATCAAAACGATTTCGTAATTACTTGACGTTCTTCTCTGATCATGTCGAACAATGGTTTCTTGTTTCCTCTATGGAAGAACAATAGCAACATATTGGAAAATATCCAAAGTACTGATGGAGCAGATACAAATTGACATTCGATCCGTTTTGATCCAAAAATTAATCAGTTTGTCTCTAATCTCCATAACATGGACTGAATGTATATTTTCATCGTACACATTATATAAGATTTTAGAGAAAGTATTTTCACTATCACATTTTCCATGTCAAGTGTGGTTGATAATCAACATCTTCCAAACTTTCGTATATATGCAATAGTGATATTTTTTATATCTTCGTTCTTACAAAACAATACGATCATTTTAATGAGAAGAAAAATGAAAATATTAAGCATTGCTAATAAATAAAACGATTCTGGTGGTGGTTGTTTCCGTATAGCATGCCATAAGACCATGGTTAAATAGGGAATCCCAGCAAATATATATGAATACTAACTAGAATCAACATGTTTTTCATCAATCTTACTTCACATTTTAACTTAGATATAGTTTTAGTAGCATTATTTCTCACTGTATTAGTAATTCTGTTAGGTACATATGCTACAACTCTACGGTTAGATTGTCGCACATGTCGAAAAATAATACTGTATATAATTATTGCAATCGTAAGTTGGAATAACGTATGCAGTAGTAACGGCCAACATCGATGAATAGAATACTTTAGTTGTAGCCGTACAAAGATGAGATTCTGCTTCTAACGCATATTCATTACCGATGAAAATTGGTGCAATCGGTCCGAAAATAGTCATAAAGTAATTAATAACGATCATAAACCAATGAATACACCAAGTAAGTAGATATTTATGTTTGTATAAAACAGCAAAAAATAAACGACTATCAACTTGTACTGCATATGAACCACTTACAACGATACAAAGCGCGACATAACAGTACGCTCGAAAAAACACATGCTGGTTGATTATGAAACCAATCTTTACGAAGATCATAACCAGCTGATATTAGCTAAAGAATAGAATAGATACTTATCGTTGCAGCTGTATGATACATGAGTAAATTTGTAATCGTATGATATTGACGATTGATGACAACAATAATAATTGTTATAAAACTCAATAATAAATTACCAAATGATACGGTAATTGACAAAGAAAAGAAAATAACGTAAAAGATATTCGGCAGCATCATTATTTGATAAAAAAAAACATCTGTCTTGTTTCTATATTGAAATATTAAATGTAATCAATGGCTCATTTCCAAAAGAAATACAATTGCTGTATAACGTAATTTAGGAAGCGTAGAACATATGAAATTCGAAGAGGATTTTGCATAATATATATTTTCTAATATTTTCACAGTAATATGTTCACTGATTGATTTCTTTGTCATCAGCTACTTTGGTTATGCTCGTATGTGTCACTATTTGACATTTGACACTATTCTAGGATTTCTAGTGTAATTTAATTAACTTTGCTAGCTATTCAAAGAACGTACATGTGTATTCATTTATTCTATTAGATTTTTTGTGTCTGAAATTATGCATGTTTGAATATGCTCGAGTGCCTGGTTGTTATTTGATATCACACACCATTTAACCATTTTTCGTGATACTTAAAATATGTGGGTTCTTATGAAAACAATAATCGACTATTTTAATAACAAAATAGTTTACACTGGACAGAACTTTGAAAACGTTTTTCTTCTGATTTTGTCTGACTCAGTGTAGGTAAATCGATTAGCCATGGATATGGCATGTATTTACGTAGATACATATATTATTTTAGCTCGATTGCAAAACAAAAATAGCCCAACTAAAAATCTTTGTATCTCGATCTATTTTTCTCTTAACAAACTCATTTCATTGAATCGAAATAGATAACTGACATGAATGCTGATTCATGTACAGAGTAGTCCGAAAGTTACCTTTTGATTAAGGATAGGTCTTATTTCCTTCATCTAATTATTTGTTCTTTTGTTTGCGCTTTTCGAATCAAATGTCTTCGTTGTGAAAATGTTTCATTACGCTCAAGAACACCCACTTTCAAAAGATAAAAAAACAAAATATAATCGACTAGAATAATGCAGTTAATCAAAAATGAAATTATAAATACGAAATTTTCAATAGCTTTTGATAATTATTAAATAGCATTACAAATATTTACAAGTAATCTTCATCTCGTATCGATTCACTTGACTCTAGATTATCAAATCTTTGGATATCAAGTATATACCTATACTGATTTTTCTTATTTCAGTAAAGGAAAACAAATGATTTCAACTAATAAACCTCAAATAACCTGATCAGTGACCTTCTCTTATTATTGACTACAGATTCGTTCATCATGTAAAAACTTTTGTGAAACCCTTTTTATTCTCTATCATCAATGTTCAAAAACTACTATTAAATAAACGAAAAATACTTGTTGAATATAATTACAAGAAAATCAAAACTTTATTTTGAGTACTTGCGAAAACACTTGTTCTCACTCTCAACTATTACGTAAAACACTTTCATAGTTAGTAATTGAAACGAATGTTATTTGAAGTTCGCACCGGAAGTTAAGTTAAGAATTAGATACAAGTCGTACTATCAATGTTACAATCAATATGAAATAAAGTTTGAATATAGAAATGGTACCACCTGACGATGTTGTGCTGCCAGTGTACATGACACTTGCATACAATGACATTGCATAAGACGAAGGTGCATTTGTTGAACAATGAACATCGACATTGAGATAATTTCTCGGGCCATAGCATCCTGTTATGTAGGAAAATTTTCGTGTTGCAAAATAAGCATAATTTCCAATCGAATCATAGAACATTCCATTACAAAGGGTGTGAGTGTGCGTGTGGATATGAGTCTAGTATTCCCTCTTACCCATACCCACACCCTATTGAATAATTTGTATATATTTCTTTGAAATTGTTATAATAACTTGATACAGTTCAATAGATTTAACTTGATGTTCTTGATATAATATTATATTTCAATTTAAATCAATTAATTCAATCTAAAAATTTTAGTTATTTAATTTTCTTTGATTTTTATTTTCTTGCTTTAAATGCATTGAGAATTTCATCAGCCGACGATGATGATGGATCTACTCATTTAATCATAATTGTTGACGCGTTGAGTAGTTCATATCGAATAATTGTTGATGCACATGTTGGTCTACTTTTAAGAGTACGAACTTTATCTATTTCATTATATATATATAATACAGATGGGATATCTTAGATCTGGATTCGAATATTTCCTGAATGGATTCACCCACAGATGGAACCAAAACACCAAACTGGTGGATCAAGATAGAACTCGACAAGTTCTATGCAACACATACCATGCTGGTCCAATTCCATGCTCTAGTCCTTGATAAATCATTCGAAAAGCTGAAGCACTCTAGGTTTTTCACAAAAAACTTGCCACATTTCAAATAGAATTTTTTTCTGTAACGAAGTTTTTACTGCTTCGCATAGAAGTAATGACATTCTATCAATTGCACAATATATGAGTAATATTCATCTCTACATATTCTGAGATATTTATTTGTTTTTCTGTTCAACCAAGATGAAGTGAAGAAAAGAGTGCGCAGCCCGTCTGTTGAGGGTGTGGATGAACACGAAAGGAAGTCCCATAGCTACTGCCACAACCTAAACTACCCATATGCATGCCCTCTTTCCGTCTTATATGATTCATTCTTTCTGATGACAATTGTACATAGGCTCGACTGTTGCTAGGTGCAAAAAACAAAATATTGATTTCTTTTCGGCTTGCATATTCAATGAGTCATTTACAGTATTATTCGACAATAATACTATCATACTTTTTTTCAGAAATTGCCAAAAAAAACGTCCTTTCGCTGAAATTGCTTCATTGCATGAGTTTGGAGACGAATGTGAAGTCTTAATGTCATTTGGAGCTGTGTTTAATGTAAGAAAATTTGAGCAACCATGAGAAACACGCTCATGAACCCTCATCATACTTGATTTGATTGAAAAAGCGACAGAACATTATGTGGAACAAAGACAAGTGCAGCCTGAGAAGAATTGAAGCATGTGACTAAGAGTGATAAGCGATGAAACAAGAGGTTCAAGTATTTGAGCTCGTCAAAAGGTTTCAAGATATGTTCATATAACATAATTCTCTAGATAAAGATAATCAAATACTTCATGTGCCTAAAGAAGAGGTTCATCTAAGATTGTTTGTGCAGTTTTTATTACAGAATGAATGAATGAATGAATAAATAATTACAAGATCAAATCAAATGAATGTTAGAATTTCTTGTTTAATTTTGAGTTCTATAACATTACCAATTGTTTCACTTTTTCTTTGATGATGAGCTACTCGATGTTTTGCTACTTTTTCCAGTCTCAATAAAAATATAGTATTCACCACCTGATTTCGCAACACCATGTCCATCTTTTAATGCCTTTTCTACCTGAGAAGGTGTAGCAGATTCAATTACCACCATGTCGGAGTTAGCCTTAGTGTTCTTCGTTGTATGGTTTCGTGGCATTGTTTGAAAGTTTAATCAAGGTACTTGTATATCAAAAAGAAAGAAGAAATAGGTAAAAAAGACTCTAAACAAAAGATAAAACTTCCTAAATATACTGACTGCTAAATATATACTTTTTAACTGGGAATTTTATATGCATTCTTTCTTTCTGTCAGAATGGGAAAAAATCCACCTTCAAGTTGGAATTTTTATTTTTGAAAGAACGTGACGATAGTTTACATTCGTTGTGAAATTTCTATTATTTCTTTTTTTCTACGAGTACAGTCTAGCAAAGCAGTGAAAAAAAGTGAAGGAATGACGAAATTTATGAATGGTTGATTCTTTTCTATTGAATGTATTTCGAGACAAATGAATTTCTGTGAGAAACTTTCGAATAGACTATGTGATGGCTGAAGTTCGGCTGCTTTCGTGAACTGGCGAATACATGTTGAATCTGCAACACATTGTGAGACAATCTACTGTTTTGCTTTGTAGTTATAATCAAGAGGAACGTTTTCACTCGATTGAACATATGAAATAAAAATAACAAAAGTAGATCATTAATTATTATGTTTTTTTCGGGTGTGGACATGGGTGAGTGTAGATTAGTGTTTTCGTGTTGATGTAAAGAATATCTTCGATATCAAAACGCATACAAACTGCCATATTCATCATTACGAGTGAGAATAATAGGTCATTCTTCTAGATATTTCATTGGATTTATCACTACCTTCGTTTTAAAATTGACGAAATTCGATTGGATAAGAGTCCGTCTCGAAACACTGTTCTTATCTTGTTGTCTGAATCGGTAGTAATACAGTAACAATGAGTGTCATCGACTGTGTACTGCATCAACCAGTCAATTAGAATTCTCTATTCAATATTTATTAATGATACGTTAAGAAAATAGGTAAACATACTGGGTATGCCTTTAAAGTTCACCAAAGTCCAGTTATCTAGTAGCTGTTGCAAAGACTCTTGAGTTTTCATCAAGCATTCAGTCTGAAGTTTAGGGTAGCCATCGATCTTCGAAACATCAAATTACACTGTAACTACCAAAAATGATCAACAGCATATTTTTACATCTTCACCTTATAACGACAACAGCTACCTTCATCCTATTGTATTACTAGTGAATTTTTATCAAAACAAGAGGCTTCACCTTGTTCTGTCATACACAGGAAAGAATATGCATTGTTTTGTGCAAAATGAAATGTCTCTAAGGTTTCAATTCTAAAACCACACCAAATTGAGAAAAAAACATCCGAAAATAACAAAGAAAATCAAAATTTATTTATTTACATAAAATTAAATTGTATATATAGCTTATAATACGTTTCACCAATGTTATACCAACATCGAGAAAAGAATTATTATTCAATCGCTCGTATATTCGTTGAAGCATATTCTGTTTTATTCAAATTGCCTCATAGTAATGTGGGAAAAGGTCTCGAAATACCCATGAGAGCTGCAATAACACTTCATTTACATTCAAAATTGATTCCGCTATCTATGGAAATATATTTAGACATAATCATGGCTATAATTCATTAAAACACGACGAACGATCGATCATCGTTATAATCATTTCGTTTCAAATTTACATAATTTGTGAGTTTGCTGAAGCACTAATGTAATTTTAAGATATATGACTGTTTTTCAATTGATTACATCTATTTGAATATACAAGAGATCATAGACCACTTCAAATAGTACGTTATAAAAAAAAAATCTTATTTTTCTCTTAAGGTTATAAAAGGTAGATGACATCGAGCTGCTGTGTATAGAATACGATTTAATGTGAGTAGATAGATTTCGATATGTGAGGCATGCTTACTGAATTAAGTATATTTTCTCTCTAAAAAAAACGTAGAATCAAGTTTCAAATTGTATGTTCAGTTTTGGATTGTAATATTTTTGTGAGTATCAATAAATATAAGTTGAGCAGTTACTGCAGTCTCATTAAAGATGTGAATGAATTATGCAAGACTTTTTTCAGATACTGTTGAAAAATATTTGAAACAGAATAGTTTAGTTTCTCGCCTCCAATCCAGCATTTTCTTTCGTATCACTCTCTGTCTCTCTCTCTTATTCACATTTCTAGATGAAGTCTTATCTACATGGATGTTTCTTTACATCCATTTTGTAATATTTTAGATAAAAAAGAAACAAACTCCAGAAAAGGAAATCTAACCATGTTTCGCTTCATGTTTTTCTATGTTTTCGTTTCACTTGGTGTCTTTCTCAATGTTCAAGGTTACAAAAACAATAACAAGTTTCGATGGCGACATTTTCTAAGCCGAACAGTGGTTCGTTCAAGCTGCTCTGAAGCACACCTGTGTCTGTCAAAATGGGGTTACTGTGGAACTGGTTCCGAGTACTGTGGTGATGGTTGTCGGGCTGGTCCATGCACGGGAAACGGTGGGGGGAATAATGGAGGTAGTTTATGTTTTTTTTTCACTTTCTTTCTATGTTCGATTCTCGATGTTGATATAGTAAAATTGGAAATTAGTTAAAGTAGAGTTTACAGACTCCCAAAGAGTGTCAGAAAATTCATCAAGATTTTTAAAAAATCTAGTATCAGTTTTTACGAAACACTAAACATGTAGCGAATTGGAGAAAGCTTTACACTACTTAGTTCAGAGAATACATGTTCTTTGTAGATTTTTTGTTGATCTCAGTTAGCACACTGTATCTCTTTGAATATGAAGGTTATTTCAAAAGACTTAAATCGAGAAGATAGCAGTTCTGACCTTTTTCAGCTTATAGTCATATCAGGATATTCTTGACAGATACAAATCGTTGTCGATATGACTTTATCTGGACCGATTTATTATAGACGAATCAGATTTCGAAAAACAAAATTATCAGAATTCTCGATACACTCTTACTCATACATGATTTGTGAAGCAATTGAAGTCACAATCATACCGACCTGAACCTCAGCTTGTAGTGGCGGCAGGTCAAATTCATTAAAGGAGGAGAATAGAAAAGAAAATATGTCTTCTAGATTACTCGCTGTACAGTGTGTTTGATCAATAGGAAAGTGCATCTTGAAAAGCAAAACATGATTTTTCATTAGTTTCTCAAGATAATTCCATCGTTCTGTTTTGAGTTTAGGTGATACTTTCAAGGGAGAAGCTACACATTATAGTGTCAGTGTTGGTTTTACAGCATGTGGAACAATGCACAGTGATAGTGAATATATTGCTGCCTTGAATTCAGCACAATTCGATCCACATACGCCTAATGGTAATCCAAATAGAAACAGCTTATGTAATAAGCGTGCCAATGTAGTTGGACCGAAAGGGTCAGTTACAGTAAAAATTGTTGATAAATGTCCTAGATGTCATTATGGTGATCTCGATCTATCTGAACCTGCCTTCAAAGTGGTTATTGGAGATCTTGACATTGGTCGTGGACAAATTACATGGAAATGGCTTTGAAACTATGTCATTTTTGCACAATATTCTTGCTATTGAATATTTCACTAATATGTGATTTTTATATGAAATTTTTTGTTAACATACCCATCATATATATTTATAATCAGCGAAACAATTGTTTCAGTCCTATGATTCTTTGTAAGGCTATTCTTTTGGGTCACTGAACGAAAATGAAAGAAAAAGTGATCATCTAGTTTGACTTGAATAAGTCCTTTAATCTGATTGGACAAAAATCTTTCATGTAAAAATTAAAAAGGCACTTCACGACATGATTGTGGAAATTAACGCCAAAAGTTGCGTTAAAAGATAAATTAAGGAAATTTTCACGAAGAAAATTTCATGAGCTTTCATTATATTTCATATATTCGTAAACACGCATCATATTTTTCACGCTTTTCCACGCATGATTATCTTTTTAACAGTAACTAACTTATTGGATCTCGTTAAATATTGCATTCGTTTTAACGCATATAATCTTTTAAATTTGTCACTTGGACTATATGCCGCCTGTATCAATGTGTAGAAAAATAACTCACATATCTTATCATCTTTTATGTATTAGATCATGCGCTATTATAACGTGTTCTATCAATAATACGCGATCCAATACCGGAATCAAGATTTTGGGTGGAAGCAACCTAGGCGGACAATAAAACGGCAAAAATGGTGTTTAAACATCTCAATATGTAAACTATTTAAACAGTTTCATTAGTCGTCAAAAACGCCTGAAAACAATTCATGAAAACTTGAGTTTTAACGCATTTTTGGCGACTAATGACACTGTTTAAACAGTTTAAATAATTTCCATTATAACGTTCCTTAGTGATTAAGAAATGTTTCATCTAAACGATGAAGTGTCAACGATTTATAAACAACTAAATGGTCTTCCCGGTAATTAACTGATTAATTATGTTCAAATTATAATGAAATTAATGTTAAATTAACATTTTTTTATTTTTTGTTTGAAAACAATGACAAGAATTTCTTTCTCATCAGTTCGTTTTCTTTTTATATCAAGACTAAGTTTACATTTTATTATTTACTTAGTTGCATATTTCCCTTTTTTCTTTTTTTTCAATAGCGGAACGGTAGATAAAAATACACAGGTTTGATCGAAGAGTATTAAAGTCTTGCCATTCCATTTCTCTATTGGAAAAAAAACAGAAAAAAAAGGAAACGAACTGATGAGAAAGAAACTCTCGTCACTGTTTTCAAACAATAAATAAAAACAATGTTAATTTAACATTAATTTGATAATAATTTGAATATAATCAATCAGTTAATCAGCGAGAAGAAAATTCAACTATTTACGCTCAGGTTTCATACTTCAGATAAGTGATAAAGAAAACAAGTTGATGAATAGATTTTAAATACTACGGTTAACGTAGTCATTGGTGAAAAAAAAGGCAAACCACGACTTATCTAACCAGTTTCTAGCATTTAGAAAACTACAACTGGAGCTACTATGATAGGCAAATGTTCTCTTCGATTTTCAGTGATAAATTAAACTTTATTTGAATCAAATTCTAAAGTACCGAAGTGTAAAGATGTGATATAACTAGAAGCGACAATTATGCACTACGACGTCTTACAGTATAGTATGCTCTAATTCGATTCCAAAGTTGAGGATGTGAGTGTTGGTATTGGTGTAGGTGTGGACATGGAAGAGAAGAATATCAACACCCATACCTAACACTCGCACTTCACACCGGCACACCCACACTCAAAACGAATATTTGCGCGAAAAAGCCGTTGAATTGTTATCATTATTAAGATGACACCACTGGGGTCTTTATCCATGCATATACATCAACATTTTTTCAGCACTGGGCACTTGGTATCATTTCAAAAAGTCCGTCGCAAAGACATCGGACTTTGTATGCAATTGGCCAATGACTATATGCGAAAATATGAAAAGCTACTGCAGCTCAAAATTTTCTATACAGTTAGTAAGAAATAAACTATTGAAAAGATTTCAGATCAAATTGAACATCTTTGAAGTGATTTACAGTGGTTTTGAGAGATTTCACAGATTTTTGGATGCTAAAATCTGCTTTTTTCCTCATTGTGTAACATTCATTTTTTTATCCTGGCATTTAAGGCGATGCGTTTTTGGTATTGCTCAACTAAAAGAAGGTTCTTATGAAGCAAAATTCTTTTTAGTACAGCAACGTGATGCAGCAATACTTCTCCTCATTATATGGGAACATGTTTATCCAAACAGCAAGATTTGCTCTGATCAGTGGAACGCATATAATAGGTTACAAATTACATATGGTTACGATTATGCCCATCAGACCATCAATCACTCTGAAAACTTTGTTGATCTACATAGAAAATGTTATACGCAACTAATCAAATCACTACGGTGACAAGCGAAAACCAAAGTTCTTCATGCAATGCGTGGTTTAAAATTATTAGAATTTCATCTCACTGAAGTTCGGTATCATTGTATTCATAAAAATATGTTCGAATCCATTTTAAATGATATTCGACACTATCGTATGAAATAATTATTCATCAAATATCAATTGTATATATATATATATGGCTGATTCCATCGAACATGTGACATATTTGCATTGAGTTCTTTAAAATCGACTTTCATGTTTGAAGTCGTGTAGAGCATAGTCGATTTACTTACTACAATAACAAAAGATCTGCTATAAATTCTAATATTGAAGAGATTAATGATTGACAAGATTAATGCAAAAAACGGCTAATATTATATAAAAACACTGTAAACAAAGCTAAAATGTCCATCATCATATATCGTTTATGCAGAATTTTGGCACATAGTGACAGAGAAGATTTTGTAGAGAACAATTTGCTTTGCACGTCCATATATAACACTTTTCAGGAGAGTACCAAACAGGAGTTATTTCAAAATGAAATCATTATCATAATTAATCTAGGTATAATTCTTATGTAATATTACACGCTAAAAATTTTCGTTCTAAGATAACTCCTGTTTGGTACTCCCTGAAAAGTGTTGTACATGCACATGTAAAGCAAATTATTCTCTACAAAATCTTCTATGTCACTATATGCCCCAAGTCTAGGCTAATGATATATAATGATGAACATTTTAGCTTTATTTACAGTGTTTTTATATGGTATTTGCAATTCTTCGGATTCATCTTTTCAATCGTTAATATCTTCAACATTAGAATTTGTAGTGAATCTTTTGATATCATAGTAAGTAAATCGGCTATGCTCTTCACGATTTCAAACATGAAAATCGATTTTGAAGAATTTGATGTGAACATGTCACATACACAGCTGAATTACCCATATATAATATTTATTTAATAAATTTGTTTTTTATCTATTAATCTGCTATACATAGAAAGAAAGCGCGGAACGTACTGCATTTTTTGGTATATTTATATCGAACATAAAATGCAGTTTAAAATGTAAACAGTATATTCAAGGAAAGTGACATTTGTTTTTACTATAATATCAAGTATTTATAATGTTGTAACATTTTTTATTCGCATATATTTTGGCTTAGGTAGATGATAAATGTCTTGAATATTTTTTTAAAAGGTGTTCCGTGAAAAGCTTTACTAAATCTGTATGATAGAATTTCTTTTACCTTTCCTAACAGTTAACTTAAAATGAACAACTTACATGACAGTGTCACTGCTAATCATATAGAATATATGTCGAGAACTTTTCTGATTCGCTATAGGATTTCGTCTATACAAATTTTGTAGAGCTTTTGACGACACATCTTTGAAAAAAATTAATATTTCATCATTTTCTCATGCAAGATATATGCAGAACAGAAAAGTCTTCCAACATGTCCAGTATGATGGGAAGTGGAACTGCCGTGTAAGTTGTTCATTCTGAGTATAAGAATAACCATTAGAACAGGTAAAAAGGAATTTGATCATACAACTATTGTAGAACTTTTCACGGCTCATCTTCTGAAAAAAAAATTCAACATTTTTATCATCCACCTAAACCAAGATATATAGGGAATAAAAAATGTTAGAAATTCATGAAACACCCTTCAGTAAAAACAAATTTCACTTTTTTTTCTAATACATTTTTTACTTTTTAAACTGTATTTAATGTTCAATGTAAGTATACCAAAAGACGCAGTGTATTCCGAGCTTTCTTCCTATATCTAGCAGGTTAATAGATAAAAAAAACAAAAAAAAAATCAAAGCATATAACCTTAATTATCCTCGACTATAATTCATATACTCTACATTTCTTACTAATTACGTCTAGGTTAACTAACTGTTATTGAGATTGTTTTTAATTACTTTTTGATAAGAGAAAATTTCTCATTAAGGAGAACACTATCTATTAAGAGAAGATATATATATATATATATATGACGTATATGTATAATTCAATTATCGTATCGAGCACTTTTTCTATGAAAAGAAGCGCCAGCTATAATGATATTATTAATTAATGGTGAAGCATCTGCTAAAGGAATACCATTGACTTCCACTTCCTGTATACTCGTAATTAAAAAAATCGTTAGCAATTGCTGTCTAACAGATCGAATTTCAAAATAGAATGATGTGTTATGTTTGATTGCTGCTCGATTACTTTCAAAAGTTTGTAAGTCAAACATGAAACTCAATGAACTGTAAGAAAATTTAAGAAGGACTATCATTCTATCTAGGCATTATTATCTTTACCATCACGTACGGATGTTTTCTATCCATACTTTTCGTCACTCAACCATGACAGGATGATGTGTGGGTCATCTCTTAATTACTAAATGTTTATCTTGTTTGTTTTTCATTCTTTATTTAAACTATGGAATAGAATTGTCTATACAATTATATTTGTTTGTGAATAAGATTCAACAATTGTCATTTCCCTTGTTTTGGCATGTGAGTTTAACGTTAATGTTGTTTCATAATTACTATATATTTTTTTCTCATCACAATTTGTCATGAACCATAATAGGTATTAAATATTGTCATTATTGACTTGAATGAGTCTCGAAATCATTAATAATAAATGGACATTTGATACTATAAAAATTTGATTCATAGAATAGATATGATTGTAAGATATTGTTTTCAGATCGAATAAATTTCAGTTATTGACAATACTTTAAAATTTATTGCTTTACTATTTAGTTTTAATTTTTCTTGTTCAAGACATTTTAATTAGTTTAAAGAAGAAATATTTCTGTATTAATGTAAGTCAATGATGTGCTCTTAGACCTACACACATAAGTCATTGTAGTGGTACGAATAAATCAAAACATTTTGTCACATATCCTATCATAGAATGTGTATATATTTTTTTTTCTCTAGAGAATCAAATGTCACTTCATTTTTCATGTATCCAATACACATTCAATTGATATTAGTTTAAAAATCGAGTTGTAAGCCCAGCTATAAGTAAAAGTACTTTTTGTTTTTATTTTGAATCTTTTCTTGAGTTTTCTCAATAGATGCTAATAAATGAATAAAAATAATCGAGAAAACGTATCTTATCTCTTCGAAGTGATCTATAAGATTTTAATATAAGAATTTCATTAAGAATGTTAGAAATATTGTTCGGAATTGCAAAATTGTAGACCTGATGAATTCTACTATTGCTCTCTTTTGTTGACATTTTATATTTCTGCATTAATGAAAAATTTTTTGATAAGTAAAAAATTCTACATCTTGTCTTTTTAGTTTCAAAGAGAATGTTTCATATATTTCAACAACAATTAAAATTATTTCTGCTAATCATATGTTACTGTTTCAATTTCATAAGTGAGTTAATAAATTTCTTTGGAAACGAAAACATAATAAATATTAGTTGGAAGTCCTGATCAACTTCGTTTATTAAGCCATCTATTGGCTGAAAACCGATATACACCAATGGCACGACCTGTTCAAAATGCTTCTCATACATTACCTGTTACTATAAATTTATCTTTACAACAAATCATTAATTTTGTAAGTAAAATTAAATACATGTTTTCTTCAATCTTAAAAATATAAATAGGATGGAAAGAATGAAGCTATTGTTATGAGTGGCTGGATGACAATCGTATGTATACTTAGCTATAATTAGGGATGCAACGATGATAGTTTGGTTAATACCAGTTTATATCGGTGGTTTAGGGTGTACTCGGTTTTTCGAAATTCTAAATTTGATTTTTTCCATCAAGAGAAAGATCTTTTTTGAAAGTAGCAGTTTTTTTTATAAAACTTTTGTAAACAAATGAGTTTTTTGAATGGGATTAGCAAAAAATTTTTTTTACTAAAAATGCTTTTTTGATAAACACAATGTCTACAAAAAATGAAATACTTAATTTCGTGAAATCAATAACAGATTAGGATTTCTTCACTCCAATTGCCTGTGACTCAACTTGATAAAAAAGAAACATTCTTTTTTCGTAAAAAACAGCCTTTTCCTAACCAAAAACATCCAGCTCAAAGTTTTTGAAAAATCGACTACATCCTAAGCCGCCATGTGCCAGTATAAACTATTATTAACTTCATATCGGTTACTAATAGGACTAATCCCGGTAAGGACCGGTTATCGTGATCGTTGCATGTCTAGCTGTAATATCTGCACTTATTGTTCATATATATCTGTATAGATGTGGAACGATTATAATTTAAGATGGAAACCAGAAGAGTTTGCTAATATTCAAACACTACGAATACCAAGTACACAAATTTGGACACCAGACATTTTTCTATACAACACGTTATTATTTTTCTAAAGAATAGATATCTTGAAAAACAATATTTATTTTTGTTTTCTGTTTAAGTGCCGATGAAAAGTTTGATACGACAGTGAAAGTCAATGCTGTTGTGCAACATAATGGTAATATACTATATGTTCCACCAGTATTATTCAAATCAACTTGTCCATTTAATATTGCCTCATTTCCATTTGTAAGTATCAAAAAAATATGTCAGTCATATCGTACTGCTATCTTGAATGTTTGTTTTCTTTTTTTTGGATACGCAATATTGTACACTGAAATTTGGATCTTGGACACATGATGATACTGGTATGTGGTTGGATAATTTTTTTCCTAGAATGAAATGCCAAATATTTCTGCATGTTATATGCATTTTTATTCTCCCTTACGTAGGAATCAATCTAACGGCAGAAAGTAGCCAAGGTCAATTGGATGCATATGTCAAAAGTGCTCAATGGGATCTAGAAGGTAGTTGATATAATTTACTTGCATTTTATTTTATTCATTCTGTTTTAGATTTCTCTGCAACGAACAATAGTACCAAATACGACTGTTGTCCAACTGTGTACCCATACGTACTATACACTATCCGAATGCGTCGACGTTCTCTTTATTACGTTATAAATATCATTGGTAATAAAATATAATTTAGAACATGTTTTTTTCTAATCTTTGTATTAATATTATTGTCTTTTCATATCATAGTACCTTGTTTTCTTATTAGTTGTATGACAATACTTGGATTTTTATTATCACCGGATAGTGGCGAAAAATTAACCTTGCGTGAGTTAAAACTTAATGATAAACAATTTGTTCTTATACATTCTAAATCTTCAGAGATTACAACTCTTCTAAGTGTTGTTATGTTCAGTTTACTTCTAGCGGAAATTCTCCCACCAAGTTCAACTGCTATACCGATTATTACAGTTTATTTTACGTGTGTTATGGTCATGTCAGCAGTTACAGTTGTTGCATCTGTAATAATATTATCACTTCATTTTCGAAACTCTAGAAATTATACAATGCGATCATGGGTAAATCATATTTCAAAATGAATAAATCACATAATTTTAGAAATCATTTTAGGTTCGTAAGTATATTTGTAATTATTTAGCGTGGCTGTTACGTATGAAACGTCCTCATCATGATTTAAGTTGGCATGCGATTCGTCCTCGATGGGTTTCTCCAAAACAAGAATCGAATAATATAAATGGGCCAATTGATAATTATCATTCTAAGATTCCTTCTGAACCATTGTCGAACAATAAATTCGAGTTGTCATCAACCAATGTTATAAATGTTGACAAAGAACCTTTAGAATTCTCTGTATCTTCAGCAATGAAAATTCATGATTCTCGTTATCATCAGAATACATCTAATGAATTGTATACGTGTGATATGGAAATGATTCGTTCTGAGCTACGTGCTATTATTTCTCAACTTGCTATTCTTATTAATTATTCTCGACAAAAAGAGAAAGATGATAATGAATCTCAAGAGTGGCAATTTGTAGCAATGGTGATCGATCGTTTTTGTCTAGTGGTTTTTGCTATAGTCATGCTTCTTTTTACCGTACTTACTTTTCTCAACGTTTAACTATTTTTTAAACTGTAATTTATTTCTTTTTCATTTGTTATTGAACCAGTTTTTAACTTAACCATTTCATTTGTCTTAAATATATATACTGTAATAAACTCTATAGAAAAAATGTTGACGATTATATACAAACTATTCGATCAATGAAATCGAACAGGAATATGTGTGAAATGAATCTGAATAGTCTTGAATGAATTCATGATGTCTTGAATGGTAGCATAGATTTGTTTTTCCTTTGGTTTTCTTTCGATAAAGATGAATATTCGATATAGAATAGTGCTAATAACAGCTGATATATTTTTGATTTCTAACAATCTTTTCTTTCAACTTTGTAAAATAAAATCAAACAAAAAGATTATGTTTCTAATTTCATGCACGTAGAATATGGTGACAAAATTAAATTTTTTAATAATTTGACTCTATTTTATAAAAAGTAAATTTCATCAACATTTAATTACTCCAAAAAGGCCGAAGTTGAAAAGGTTCGTATGTTACTTTCTTGCAAGTGTCTCAGCTATTTTTGGCTAGAATAGTATTCTAACTACACATGTAATTCTTACAAATACAATCATTGCTGTTCATCAACTAATATCAATACTCAACATCGGACTGATATTGAACTGAAAAATTCTATCGTTCAAGTGTTGACTTATCTCACAATTCTATTAGATATCTCAGAAATTCATCTCTCCTGCATAGTCAACTGCTCAGTGCCATAAATGGTTAATACGATTATAACTCTTCCGGCTTCTACATTCGAAAAAACAAAATCTATGAAAAATCAACAATGAGTGGATATTGAAGATTTGTATACAGTCAAATTTACAGTTATTTTATATCGAATGCCGATTTACTGAATGTGACATATTCATATTCAAATCAAGTTCTTACTTGGAGTTCATCGAAGTACTAATAATCCAGATTTCACTCTAACTGCTGTAGGTCTAACTGAAGTTCTTCAACATTGTACTATCTTAAATATACTAATAAAGGCTGGCAATGTTTAGTAATATTCAATATCAAAAAAAACTTTCGGCTTCAGTTCCAACAACAAGAGAATGTGAGTATGGGTGAGCATGAAGAAAACTTTATATCTTCAGATCCATACCGCGCAATCTCAAATACAGTGGGGATGGGCGTGGGTGATTCTGGATTGCACGGCATGGTTGGATGTGAGTGTGGTTGTCGGCGTGGTGTTGGTATGATCGAGATGGATCTGGGCGAGCATTCGTGGATGGTCGTAGCTATGGACGGGCGTGGGTGCCCGCGGCTAGGTGTGGACTGGTTCAGGTATGCATGTGAGTGTGAAACTGCAACTTTAGGTGCCTATGGTAACATTTTCGTCGCTCACAATGAACCAAACACACCCATACCTACATTCCACATCTACACCCGCAAGTGAAAACCAGAGCTAACATTGAATGGCTCTTAGGGCATATTTAGAGAGATGAAATTTTATTGACATAAATATAGATAGAGAATGAATCGAAGTAAAACTGGCTGCAGTGTGGAGGACCACAATTAATCGTTTCATGCTTAATATTAAAAGTAACAAAATAAGTATCAGAGTGATTAAATAGAAATAAATGAACTGAAAAACTGGTTATATCCTTAACATTACACATAGGAATTTTGGATCATAGTTATTTTGTTTATGGGCATCTCGACCAGGAAATGAGTCATAGTATTGATTTGTCGATTGTATTCTAGGGTAGTTGAAAAGTGAGAGATGAAACGCCTTTAAGGATCTTTCCATATTGGTAGACATGGCTATAATCTTTGGCGTAGCCGTCACGGAGTACCTCGAAGAGATACGGTTGAGCATTCTCTACTAGCTTGCCCAGGAAGAAGACATGCTTGAGATCTTTGGCATAGCCGTCACGAAGTACTTCGAAACAATATGATTGACAGTTCTTCACTATCTTGTCCATAAAGTAGATATCACTGTGGTTTTTACCTAAAAAGAATGGAATTGAAATTATGAAAGATTTTAAGGACCAAACTAGACGACAAACCATAACCGTTGCCTAGATCTTTGAAGTCTATTGAACTAGTTTGTTGAACAAAGTCCTTGCCGAAGAAAACGTGATTGTTTCGTTTTTGATAAGCTGGCATATCCTTGGGTATAAGGAGCATCATTAGTTGATGGTCCATTTTCTATCTTAAAATCAGAGCATCGAAATAAAAAAAATTAATATATGATAAACGAAAATAAAACCATTTCAGTGTAACTGCCAATGACATGTTGGTAATAGTCTGTCAAAAATATATTGGAAAGTATAGTACAAGCGATGTCGTGGATGTCGAGTATGGATGAACTAATGACTCACACTCAAACTCGCTCTCATTCCTAGTCAAACTTACATCCATACATCTCATCTTCACAGAAAGCTGAATACGAAGGCAAATAATAAAACAGAAAAGATGCAAAACAATGGCTCTTTAGTGAATAAAGTTCGTTCGCACCGTTCCAATGGAAGAAGATGACTTTCAGCAGTAATTTCGTGTTGTTAATTATTTGACAGACTTTCGAGATTTTCGATATTCGATATTTTACTTTGTGAGATTCAGTACTTTGAACTTCTGTATTTTGAACTTATGCTCATTCGAGTTTTTTTTCGAGATTTTTAATTTTTTAAATTTGTTATCGATATTTTAGCATTCGGGATTATTCTAGTCGATTTTTTCTTTTCGAGCAATTAACAATCTTCCTAATGTCCATTTCAGAGTTAAATGGACGTGGGCATTTTTCGAATAACTTTAAAACAAAAAGAGAGAAATGACTCGGGCTTTCAGCACTATCTAGAGTCGACATTACTATATCTTTTTATAAAGTCCATGAAAAAATTCAGTTGCTTTTCTTATGGGATACAGCATTGGTTTTAAAGATGAACTTAATCCCCTTTGAGAATAATATGCTTTCTAAACTATAATATAATGAGTAGATAGTCTAGCTTCGTCCCTATCAATCAGCAGAAGCCCGAGATCGATAGCTATTTCTCTTCAAAAGATATAAAGATTTTATTGAATGCTACTCATCAAAATTTTTCGAAATCTAACAATGGAACTGTTTGTATTGTCAGTTGATTTGCTTAACTATATTTGGACCAAATTAAAGGCCTTACTGCCAAATTAACAAATTTAAAACATGACGTGCTGATGGAGTGCCTGGACAGAAATTCTTGAATTTCAAGGTATATGAAATTTAGGTATAAAAATGAAACAGTAAAATTTTACTCCACTATTGTAAGGGCAAAACATGATGTTGTTCGGGTCATATGAAAGAGGCCCCTTCTAAACTCTTTAATCCTTTGGAGACGGTCGTGGTATATATACCACTTCGAGTATATCTCAAAATTTTGGTATGGTATATATACCAAATCAATCAGAACTGAGTGAAAGTAGTCTATAGAATCATTTTCCTTTGTTGAGTTAGGAACAATTGATTGCTTCAACGCTTAGCGTACCCTAAAACATTTTTGATAATGAGTTTTGATTGAATAAACATCTATTTTCGTTCTTATAAGAAAACTATCTTTTCAAAAATACCCCGTCCCCAAAGGGTTAATCGGCCCGAACAACACTATGTTTTGTCCTTACAAAAATGAAGTAAACCTTTCTCGTTTCATTTTTATACTTAAATTTCATATACCTTGAAATTCAAGAATCTCTGTCCAGGCACGCCATCAGCACGCCATGTTTTAAATTTGTTAATTTGGCAGTGAGGCCTTTAATTTGGTCCAAATATAGTTAAGCAAATCAACTGACAATACAAACAGTTCCATTGTTAAATTTCGAAAAATTTTGATGAGTAGCATTCAGTGAAATCTTTATACCTTTTGAAGAGAAATAGCTATCGATCTCGGGCTTTTGCTGATTGATAGGGGCGAAGTTAGGCTATCTACTCGTTATATTATAGTTTAGAAAGTATATTGTTCTCAAATGGGATTAAGTTCATCTTTAAAACCAATGCTGTATCCCATAAGAAAAGCAACTGAATTTTTTCGTGGACTTTATAAAAAGATATAGTAATGTCGACTCTAGGTAGTGCCGAAAGCCCGAGTCATTTCTCTCTTTTTGTTTTAAAGTTATTCGAAAAATGCCCACGTCCATTTAACTCTGAAATGGACATTAGTTTCAGTTATACGTACATGTGAATAATGGTCTGTCCAAGTGAAAGTTTAATCGCATAAACGAAATCAAAGTTACAAGAAAAACATGAGCAATTGCTACAAAAAATGTTATTCTTTACATGAAGAATTGGAAGTGATTGACTGTATTGGGGCGCAGAAGAACGATTACTTTTTTTAGTCTACATCGCTCACATGTGAGGAATTTTTTTTTTTTTTCAAACGAAAGAAGCAATTTAATGTCGATGGCTGCGTTAATGTTGTCTTAAAATTTATTTCAATTTGATTCACGACACGAGTAGGCAGTCAGTATGGATGTATTATTTCATAAGAGAAAACGAATGAAAAAGTTCTGTTTACACTCTTAAATATTTTTTGTGCGCAATTCTCCGAAAGCATAAATGTTTACGTAGTTCCACATTCGCCCCCTTTATTCAAAAAAAGAACTGGTGAAAATGTGATTTAAAAAGTCTTTTTTTAATCATTTAGCATCAGTTCTTTTTGGACGAATTGGTCGACCACTCCAGTTCGCGAGAACTGAACTGGTTGACCAGCTCAATTCATGAGAACTGGAACAGGTCGACCAGTTCATATGAACTGGAACTGTCACAGTCCTAGTTTAGGTCAATCTCTGCGTTCAAAGCCAAGAACCGTCGGTTAACCGTGATGAACCGCCGATTGACCGTAGTTAACTGTGGTTAACCAAAAAATTTCCGGTTAACCGCGATATACAGAATGGTTAGCCTCCTGGTTGAGCGAACAGTCAACCATGGTTAACTGCTGGTTTTTCACCGATTTGAACGACATGAGAAGTGTCCTTTAAAAAAGAAGCATTGTAAATAAAATCTGATGAGAATAACAGATATGACAAATTCTTAATTTGAGATTGTTTATGTCTTATCATTTTTCGATTCAGAGCATGTCACACAATGCGCAAGTTGCTTAATTGATCATGGTTTAATGAAGTTCTGGTCTAATATTGACACTCGTCGTGATTGTCTATTATTATCAGTAGTGGCCAGCAGAGTACATTCTATATCAGCGACTAGTGCTTCGGTGTAAAGATTATTTAGGTCAACTGCATTAATATTTATTCAAAGACGAACACGTTTATCATCAAATCAACTTGATAACATCTTATTCATTAATATGAGAAATTTAAGAATAAGCAATAAAACTAAAACTTATCTTTTCTAATTGTCTATCTTCTTATTGTGATGACATTTTGAACCCTCTATCGTTGTGTTTGTTTTATTATTGTTTTGTTCATATAGTGGATATCAAATATTTTGTTATTAATTGTTCATTTCATTTCTGCTGAAAAACATGTGATAAAATTCATTAACATGGTTATATTGTAGATAATTTTTATATAAATATTGTCCTGAAAGAAGTGTCCTGCCTGGGCGAACTTTTTGAGGTGCTGCTCTGCGTCATGCAACACACGATGACTGAATGATAATGTTCTGTAGAATGTAGACAGGGCTGCCAAATCTCCTGATTTAGCCAGGAGACTCCTGATTTTTAGACTTTTCTCCTGATGAAAAAATCTCCTGAATCCAGGAGCTGATTTTTATGATTTTCTCCTGATTTCTCCTGGTTTTTTAAAGGATTTTGTCACGTTTAATTGTAGTGATATTTTGAATCAATAAGACAAAGAAAAAGAGAACTATGACACTATTTCATAGATGCAACAGACAATAAGAAAACACGTCGTTTCTGCTTGTTAGGCCTGATAATATGCGTTTATTTGTGAGCTTATCTTCTTGACGGTTAAAATGTACCTCATGGACAAAAAATAGTTTAGTTCGCTTTTTCTATATCAACCTAGAATGCTATTTGTGAATTGACCTTCAGCCACATGAAATTTTTGTGGGCTGATAATAGAAACGATTTGAAGTGCAATCTTATTGGTGCATAATTAGGAACTAAATGAATAATCGTCTCAGTTGTACAAAGTTCTATAATCATCTTTTAAATAATTCAGACCTATTGAAACAAATTCAGTCTTCAGAAAAATATGACCATGTTCATAGGTGGCGAAATGTTTTGGATCTAGGGTAGGCTCAACAATTTTTTACAGGATTCGCACCAGAAAATTAAAAATATGGACTAAGCCAATTTTTTTGATGTCATCTTGATGAAACAAAGTTAGTCTTTCTCATTTCAAACTCGCATTTTGTAATGTATGACGCTGATAGAGATAAGAAAAGCATTTGTAACTTATCAGTCAAAAAACGTGCATTTAAGAAAACATGTCGATGATTATCTTCATTGACTTTCAACTCTCATAAGAATTGTTTTCCATCTGCTGTGCTAAAAAATAAAATAATGTCCAAGCAGCAATGTTCACAAAAACGACATTACATTATGAATGTTTTTATTGTGTTGAAAAGATATTTTTTCTGCGGGAATATTTTTCTATACTCGTCGTTTTCTTGCTCCATTCCGTATGGTAATGGGAACTCCATTAAGTATTGGTGTTCCCGCATTTTTTCTCGTATTTACCTACATATTCAAATACATGTATGTAACAGCGTTTTATTTTTACGTAACTAACCTACTGTAGCTCCAAACATAATTATATTTTTAATTTCAAGTCGTGTCACGGTTATCTTAAAATCTAAAAATAAAACAGGAATATGAATTCCTGAAGTCTTACAATTAGAAGTGTAAATCGCCGAGCTGAGTCGCCGCTGTCGGTGGGACAAAAAACTAACAGTTTTGAAGATTTTTCGACGCCTGAGATCACTCTACAACGATGTTTCTGTCTAGGTTTTTTATCAGTGTGTTCTCTACCATTGTTTTCTCTTTTTCTACCCGATAATTTCTCGGAAATAAGAAAATCTTAAAGAAATCGTCCAGCAAATTCACTCACCTCGCCAACAGACTAAAAAAGTTGAGTATTTTCAGTCGCTACCGACATTAAAAAAAATAAAATCACACTTACACACCACCGATCTATGGACTGGTTTACGCTTCCGCTTACGGAAGTGAAAATAAATTTTTTTCTGGGAATGAGAGTGTAAGAACAAGAATAACAATTTTTTTCCGAGAAAGACAGTGTAAGAACAAGAACAACAATTTTTTCCCGAGAAAGACAGTGTAAGAACAAGATAACAATTTTTTTCCGAGAAAGAGAATATACGGACGAGAACAGCAAATTTTTTCTGAGAACAGAAAGAATAATCGAGAAAAGTTGCTCTCATAACACTAATGATCGGGTAATGTAAACTTAGTCGCTAAAAATGATGAAAATCTTTGGCAGCTACTAGCTGATATGATTCAGGTTTTTTATGCAGTACTTCGTCACTTTTAACGAAAGAACCTCATTTTAAATTATGGCTGACCCAAGATTTGACATTTATCCACACAAAACTAAAAGTTTTCTCAAAAACAGTTTCTAGGTCTGTTTCAATAAATGTTACTATTTGTTGCCGATAGCGACAAAAAATCGTGACGTCTGTACAAATTTTTTACGTACTGCACAAACCTGTCAATTTGACGTAGTAGAAAACAATTATTTGAGCGTACCATAGTCTATGGAATCTGAACCAAAGATAGGCTTTAGTCTGCTCAAGCCGTGTGATTCCATCATCTACCAATAGACGCTATCTAAGCCTTCATTTATTCCATCCACGAGTCTACCTAAGCCTTTAGCTGTCCAACCTAGAGTAGGCTCGAGCATACTCAGGACTCGTGACCCCTTCGTTCATGGTCATGTTACAAAAGTGACATGAACGATATAGTTAATAAATTATTGTTCATGTATGCCCATTTTGTTTAGTTACATATTAATGTCTAATTAAACTTCATTTTCTATTTTGTCGGTATATTTTGATAAACCACTGTGATATGAGTAGTAAAATAAATTCCACATAATTATGTTTTTTTAAGAATATATATCACTTAGAGGAAATTTTGTCATCAGTAACTTAGTAGAAGAACATAACGAGTGATTAGACGAACGAAAACTTCAGTTTTCTTTGAGAGAAGACCACTAATTCATTTTCTGATTTCAATAAACATCTTCTGATTTTTCTCCTGATTTTTCAGTAAAAATTCCCTGGTAAACTCCTGATTTTTTAAAGTTGGATTTGGCAGCCCTGAATGTAGAGCAAGACGAAACAAACTGTCATTTGACGTTTTCTGTTTCAGCTTTCATTGAGAAAACTTTTATAAAACTTAATGCGAAATCATATATTTAACTAGCCGATTTATTTATTGTTTTTCATAAGTTAAAGAAGAATGAAACTATTCTGGATACTGTTCATTTATTATTGAAATCTTATCAAAGAAAAAGATCGTTGAAAAAAGGCTGCACTTTCCACTTTCAATATTATGTCAAATCGTTTCGAATTCTGTGTAAAAATTGCATTTATCTCCTTTTTACTTATCAACATTTTTTTTCTTCACTAACATTGCTAATGAAAATTAACCTTGAAAAAAAAGTTTGATACTTGATTGAAAATGCATTCTAAATTCTTCAATTGTCCATTATCGAAATGTCTTCTGTTAATTGATCATTCTTTCCGATAAACAAAATGATTCTTTTTCTTGTCTTTTTGTTTTTCGCAATTTTTGTTACTCTCAAATATCATCAAATAAAATCAGAAAAACATACATTAACAGAAATTATCAATCATTGTGAATCAAATACTACATAAGAGTCTTTAGTACAATTATTATTTACTATAAAATTCTTGAGTAAAACCTCAAATAAACGAGAGAGAAAAAAATAATACTACTTCTATAATTGATGATAAAGAACGTTAAAATTTATCTAACTCTTTCATATATTGACTCAACATGTCGTTTTATGCGTATCCTTGAAACGGGTGTCTACATACACATACGTTTTTTGGGCTATTAAAAAAAAATAAGAAACGAAAGAAATAAAAAATATCAAACTGCATTATATCATTCATACGACAACCACAACGGCAGTTCTTTTTTATAATCATCATTGATTTGAAAAAAAACACAACTTGAGAAGTATTTCTACTAAAGTATATTTTAAATAGAAAACGAGAAACAAATGGGTACATTAATTAAGGAATTATTTAAATGGCCATTAGTTGTACGTCTTCGAACACCAGATAATGATGATGAACATGTTGATAGACTTAATCATCGTGTTACAGTTGGATTAATACTTATTGCTGTTTTTATAACATCAACAACATCATTTGTTTCAAATCGAATATCTTGTTGGTTACCAACTGAACTTAAACATGCAAGTTATCCAAAATATATAGAAAGTTATTGTTGGATTAGTAATACATATTATATACATTCCAGTATGACTCCACCACATTCGGATGAGGATAGAAGACGAGCTCAAATAGGTTTGTAAATATTTGATTTTGTATTTTTAAAAGTAAATGATTGTATTGATAACATACTTGGTTTTTTTTATGACTGATAGACACATTTTGAATGAATAAGATAATAACATTTATAAATACAGTTTGATTTTGCTCATGTCACTTGATAAAATCTGTGATCGAGATTTTTTCATTTGCTTTCCATTAGTATTGAAGTTTACATTTCATAAAATATCTCATATATGAGACATATCTACAACTTTCTTACCTTTAAAAGTTATAATTTAAACGTTTTGACGATTTGCTGACTGTATTAGAGAAGCAAAACCAAATCCGATAGATACATGAAGAACCTACGATGATAGTAGAGATAGGAGCATCTCAAGATTGTAACTACATTCTAATAATTCCAATCATAGTCTCATCGAATCTGGTCTGCTGACAGTTTCGGCTTAGAGAAAATTATTTCAGAATTTATTCGCATTCAATCCAAAAACGTCTTAAGACTAACTTTGTGAGAAAATCAGGGGTCGAGTACAAAGTAATATCTCAAAATTTTCAGCTTGATCCGTTTGCTTTTTTGCAAGACTATTTTTCAAAATACTAATGAAATTTTTAATGATAATTATTTTCTGATCTTTTAATCGTTTTTTTTAGAAATTATCTTCGAAAGAATAACTTTCATCTTTCGAAACGTGAGAGTTTTGACTTTGCTATGATAGAGCTCATAAAGTTCTACTGTCTAACACATTTTAAATTTTTAGCTCACGCGAAAAGTCAATAACTTCCAATCAAAAATCATTTTGTCTTCTATCATTCATAAGATGTGTCTGAAGATGCTGATCTATTATACTTTAGCTCTTCTTTTTGTTTTGATTAGTATGATAATATAAAATTACTAAACCAAACCTTCGACATTTTTAGTATTAGAGAGAAAGATGATAGATTTCGAGAGGGACAACTTCCATAGAAAATAGCATTAAAAAGGGAATATTTTCAAGTTAATTTTGATCAAAAATAAACCTTGTATTCACAATCAGCATGTAAAACTACATCAACAATCATATTTTCGATCTTGAAATATTTTCGAATATGTTACCTAATGTAGTTGTGCATGCTAATGGCGAATATAAAAGTTTATTTTTGATGAAACTCAACTTTTCTCAATACAAAACCTGGAAATATTCCCACTTTTATGATATTTTCTATAGAAGTTGCTCTTTTCGAAACGTATAATCTTCTTTTATTAACACTAGTTTATTAAATTTAAGCTATCATGCCACTCATAATAAAAAAAAAGAGCTTGATAGAGGAAAAAGACGATTTTTGATTGAAAGTGATTGATTTTTTTGCATAGATCAATAATGTTAAATATATTAGACAATAGAACTTTATGAATTCTATCACTTGTGAAAATATCAAGACATTGCGTTGTTGTCATAAAAAACGTGTTCGAACAATATTCGGGTAACAAAATGTCTAAAACCAGAAAATAATTATCATTAATAATTTCATCAGTATTTTGAATGATGATCTTGGAAAAAGTCATCGGCTCGAATTTGAAAATTTTTCCTATCTTTGAAACTCCACTAGCCACTACTTCGGTGGTCAAAAAGTCGTTGATGATTCATCTGCATTCATCCAAATTCTAATTCATTCTTGCTTTTGTTCATCATTGACTTGATGAACAATCTAACATGATGTAACTTTTCTTATCTTTAGACAATCGTGGATCATTCATTCTATTGTACCATAAAAGAGAGAAATCTCAACTATCATATCATCACAAGTTGAATGTAGATCATTGTCGATCATCTGTCTTATCAGTTCGATATTTATATTTTTCAGCTAGGAAATAGGACGACTAGATCGAAGATCATTACTGACATCTTCTCTTCCTTCATAAAAATGCTTTACTCACCTTGCAACTGTTCATAATCTGTCCTGAATTTTGCTTTGATTAAGATGAATTGTAACATAATTCGCTAAGAATCATAGGAAATTTTGCTAAAATTCTAAGTTTCGGTTCGAATAACTATTTTTCCCGAAGTTTTGATCTTGATGGCCAGAACCGGAACTAAAACTGTTCTCACACATCTCTGCTCAATATCAATAATATAATCTTTTATTAAGAAGAAATATATTAAAATCAAATATGTTCACTTCGATAAGTTCTTTACCTTTGTGTTCTGACGAAAAATTCGACTGAATATTATCGAAAATTATCAGTGATAAAACATAAGAGTAAAATCTTAAAACTCCCTTCCTTCCCGGAGTTCTTCGGAAATAGCTCTACAAATAATTGTGAAAGTTTCAAGACAGATAGATCTCAATAAGTAGAGTAAAATTTGTCATAGACTCAAAATTCTCAAACGTTTCCTTCAGGAAAATATAAGAATTGCAAAGGCCAAAAATGACCAGAAGTTTTTACCCCTTAAAACTCTATACTTCACTTTCTATGACAACGAGGATCAGTTCGAGATGTGTATTTTTTTTTTTTTTCGTTCAAAAATATCATTCCAAGAGCTCAGGAGAAACAAAATACTGGAAGCACCGTCAAATGGTACTCATTTTTTAAAGCCTCTCAAATTTCATAGGAACAACATTTCGAAGAACAAAAAAAAATTTGATTTTAACATTCGAAAAGCAGTAGAGTCCCCTTAAGAGGGTTGATTTATCTATTTAGAAGATATCTGTATGATTTCTCGTTTTCAAAGGTTATTATCAATGGGTACCTATTCTTTTATTATTAATGGCATTATTTTTTTATGCTCCTCGATTATTTTGGCGTTCATTCAATGCTCATTGTAGTATTGATATTCAAAATTTAATAAAAAAAAGTCAAATTTCAACTAATAATTCAACAAAAACAGCATCAAAAACACTTGATTATTATTGTCAAACATTTAAAACTAAACATTCACATAGTTCAATTAATATACAAGCATATATTCGTCGAAATAAACATCGAGGAAATTATTTATTTTCTCTATATTTTTTAACACGTTTAATGTATTTAATAAATTCTATATTTCAATTATTTTTACTTAATGCATTACTTGGTCATCGTGGTAATGCATGGTTTCTTGATATTGATATAATGAAATCAATATTTCGTTATGGTAATCCACTACTTGATTCACCTTATTTTCCTCGTGTTACATTATGTGATGTACCTATACGTGAAATAGCTATAATTCATCGTTATACACTTCAATGTGCTTTACCAATAAATATGTTAAATGAAAAAATTTTTGTTGCATTATCATTTTGGTTTAGTTACGTAATTCTTCATAATATAATAAGTTTTATTATATTAATTATTCAACAATTTAAAAATCAACGAATTAAATATATTGAACGTTTAACAACATTAATTGATGGTGATAAAAAAGATTATATTGAAGATTTTACTGTAGATTATTTAACGTATGATGGTATTTTTTTATTACGTTTAATAAGTCATAATTCAAGTGAATTACAAGCAATGGAAACTATTAAAACTATGTTTGAAAATTTTAAACGTAGAAAATAAAATATTTGAATAAATTTTCATATTAAATTTTTTTTTGTTTTTTGATGTCCTTTATTAATTGTAAAACTAATTGAGTATACATCCGTTTTAGTATGTTTGCATAGAATAAAAAGATAGCAATTTCCGATTTTGTTTAGATACATATCTTAAGATCACAGGTGCTAATATACTTTTCATTCTTCAATACATAAGACGAGTTACACTAGGATTGTCATCAGCATGATATAGGTAAGACACAGATAATGTTTTCGATTACTAGAGAAGACAAAATACGAATATATGCATCAACATGCGAACATATATTTTCATACGAAAATGATGACCTAATATCACATATAACTATACAGTGAATTAATCTATTTTAATATTATTTTTCTTTTTGCCTGTTAGAACTAGTAAATACCTCAATGACATAGTAAATATTTTTACTTTATTCCAAATCATCTGTCATATTAATTCTTTTTTTTTCGGTGAACTTCATAAGTAATTGAATGAAATTCTTATATTTTTGTTTCGTAATTACTATCAACACCAATAATATCGATAATAATAATAAACGCTTATTTACACTCCAAGATTGGCAACAATCTGTTATGAGAATAGATTCAATAATATTAATTTGTGATGATCTAATACAATACAGAAAAAAAAAAAAGAAAAAGATCGATCATTATCGATTATGGCAACAGTTGCACTAGTATGAACTATAGTAGCAATGAACATATCATCGAGACATTGATCGTTGTAAAACTCTTCAAGCTTTTTTTTTTTTACGATGATTACACATTTAATAAACAAAAGAAATGAGAAAACGATAAATGATATTTATCTAAAAGAATATACTATGTCAAACTCATTATTAAATGTCAAAAGAAGAAAAAAAACGACATATTCACTCGTTTTTTTAATCATTAATTTGTCAATGACAATATAATAATAAAAAAAAAAGAAATCTTTCTTTTTTTCGATAAGGTCTTATCGTTATTTGAAGGAAAGAATGTACTTGAATAGACATTTTTTTTTCTAGATTATTAATGGAAATTCGTCTTATTTTAGAAAACGACGTTAATCATATGCTATTTTAATGTAATAATCAAAAAGAAAACCCTAATACTCAAGATTTCTTCTTCTTTTTTTTTTCTCTTCTCGTCAAGGCAAATAAGAACAACAAGATAGAAGTAATTGAGAAGGAGAAAAAACCGCCACGAAGCACAATAAATAATAAATGATGAATAGAAACACAAGAAGAAAAAAACATATGAATTTGAACACACAATCACTACTTGGGTGGGTAGTCCAATAGAAACTTTCCTATGGGTGTTTTCGATGAGAAAAAACTTGGTTTTTATTAGTAACATTTTTCTTTTTTAAGAGAGAGAAACAAAAAAGAAAAATGATCAATTTTCTTTTTCTTTCTTCCTTCTCTTCTCACTGGACACTCCTTTTCTTCTCGCTTTCTCTCTTGTTCATCATATTCACTACTTACTTGGAGACACACATACACACATATACATATATAAATACACATCGCACGGTTGGTTCCGTATAACAAAAAGAGAGACGGGAGTATCATTCTTTCCAATCGGAGACGATTACATCATATATATACATATTGAGGATAATGACGACGGTAATTTGCTATACTTCTATATATTGAAGATTGTTTGAATTGAACACGACATACACATGTACTATACACTGATCATTTTGTTCTATTATCATCAATCCCTACTGTTACATACAACATCAGCTTCATCATTATTATTTACGCTTAATAATGTTCGATATTTATTATCTGATCGTATTTTAACAATACCAAAATTAGGTTCTTTACGTGGAATATATATAGATTATGATAATGAATATAATGAAAAATATAATCTTGTTAATGTTGAAGCATATCTTGGTATACAATATGGTTTATATCATGAAAGATTTGAACCATCAAAAGAACGATTTAATTTACATCCAAATACAAAAGTTAATAAACAAATTGAATTTGGACCAGCTTGTTCACAATATATATGGAAAAATGAAAGTGAATTAATTCGAATACGTACAAAAAAATTTGCACAAGAATATTATCCAAAATTATTAAAATTTATTTTAAAACAAAATGAACAACAATGTCTTTATATGAATATTTATCAACCACAAATAAAAAATTTAAAAGGTACAAGAAAAAAAAAACAAAAAAAAAATTTTCTATTGATTACTAATGTATATTATATAGTTACTAAGATAAGTAGTTTATTCTATTATATTGTCTAATGATGTGAAATAAATTTATGCTCAATGATCGATGGACCCGACATCTCATCGACCAGTAATATATGATCATATTAACCAGACATCGTGAAGAAAGATGACATTGTTGACGCACGTTAGATCTTTTGTATGCATATTTAATGATACAGTTCCATTAAGTAGAACATCTCAATCTCAAATGTATTGATGATAGTATTGACATGAGAGAAAGTTGGTACTAATCCCTAAGACATTCGACTCAAAATAAAGTACAATAGAAAGATATTCAATTTCTGTTGATGACAAACATAATATTATATATTTAATCTCATGAAAATTTATATTATATTTCAATATCTTTTTTTTTTCTTAGAACGTCTTCCTGTACTTCTTTTTATTCATGGTGATGGTTATGATATGAGTACGGGTGCAGCATTCGATGGAGCTATATTTGCTAGTTATACTAAAACAATTGTTGTTACAATCAACTATCGACTTGGTCCCTTTGGTAAGAAGAACAAAAAAAAAATCATCTATTTTCTTCTTGGATGAATAACAATTTAGTATAGTAATAGTTGTAATGGAACTTGATCAAGGTTTTATTACTTCCTATTCTATGTTGTTTGATTAGTAATTGCCATTTCCGCTATACAATGCTCTAGACTAGACTTGTTCGGCGGGTGGCAATTATAGTTAATTAACTCACATTTGTCCCTCACCATGTAAGCAATGTCTCATATTTTTTCCGTCTATTAGAAACAGTTATTCAACTGGATGAATGAATATGTCTATGATGGATGAAAGCAAAAAAAAAAAAAAAAGAAACTTTACTTAAGAATTAAATGTAAATGAGACAAGATCAAATTTATATGCATATATATTCTATCGTTCTTCGTTTGTTATTATACAAAGAAACCTTCAAATGATTTATTTATTTTATTAATCGAGATCGAAACAATTTCAATTGAATATGAACATTTTATGATGTAACTTCATATGTATCTCATCATGATTTCTACTATATCCGAACTGATATATGAATGTTTATATATATATGTTCATAAGAGATTAATGAAGAAGGATAATCAAATATAAACTTAAAGCAAAAAGATTCATTAATCAAAACGTTATTCTATTTTCTTTTTTTTTTTGTTCATGAAAAGTCAAGAAAGTTGATAAACTAACATTTATCATTTATTTAAAATCAGACAATCGAAAGAAAAATAATATTAGCATTTGTTTAGAACAACATTCAATTACGGGTAACTTATAACGTTCAACAAGAACAAAAAAAAAATCAATTAGGATTTTCTTTCTTTTCTCTCATTTTTATTATGAACAAACTGTAGAAAAGTATATAGCGTGACTTCACACTCAACAACAACAAAAAACAAAAAAGATTTTCTTTGCATGCAATCAAGTTTAATAATTATCATCAATTATGATTACTTCTATTTCATTGACGAAACTAAATGATGACAAATAGAAATAGACAACGAATCCTATTTTATTGCTATACTACTTGACATGTAGATGATAAGAATGTTTACATACCCTCAATCACTAGTCTGATGTTGATCTGTTAACTGCTCACAGCAGTTGTTCACACACTTTAATAAAAAAGAGAAAGAAAAGAAATGAACTTGTTTGATGTTTAATTGACCACCTTCTGGTTTTGTAAATATTCTTGAAATTTGATCTTTTAAATGTTAAATCTTAAAAGATTTTTTTTTTGTTTTTTCAATAGGATTTCTTTATATATCAAAAGACAATAAAGGTGATTATGCATTACAAGATATATATACAGCTTTACATTGGCTCAAAAATTATGTGACAAATTTTAATGGTGATCCTGATCGTATTACATTATATGGAACTGGATCAGGAGCTGTATTAGCTAGTCTTGTTGTTATGCTTGAAACTGTTAATGGTTTGTATCTTTATTCAAAAGATTTACAACCAAGGATTTTTCAATTATCATTGAATAGAGAATATAGGAATATAAAGATATTAGAATCGAGTTTCATAGTAAAGAAAAGTTGAGGTATCGAATAGAATTTCATTTGAGTTACATAAATAAATTTAGAAATCCTTTTTTTTTTAATAGAATTTTGTGCTCAATCATAGGCGATGCTAATCATTGAATACAAAAAGCCGAAAAAAATTATCTTGTAACTATCCAATTCTGATTAGAAAATTTCATTGAAAGTATCGAAATACGATTCGATCGGGTCTGAAAATTCTGGAGTCGACAGACTCTAGTTTAGAGTATTCTGCTATCAGTATGTCACAAGAACTTTTGAGTACTTTGTGGGTTTTTAGCACTTGTCTACAAAGGCTTCTAAATGTTCAATTAGTACATTCATTAGAGAATATCCAAGAAAACAATATCTACATCAAATAGTACACTCCGTACTTAAAACTAATTTTCGTCAAATTTCGATCATTACATTCTCTTAACCTGAGCGATTAGCGATAATATTATGCGAACTGATTTAGATACTTCTAGACAAAGAATCGAATGATGAACTCGCGATTTGATGCTTTTGGTGTATTTCAATTTTTATAGACTTTTCTGATTTCTTTTAACCAAAGTTTCTTAGAACATTGTCTGAATATATCGAAAATAACATTTATATGAATAACTCAATGAGCTCTATTCAACTGTGGAAACAAATTTGTACTTAAATTTCGAATAATCAGCACCTTACATATTATTATGTTGATGCTTCATGTTTGGATCTATATTATTAGCAAAATTAGACTAATATATATATATACTTAGGGTTAATCAAGAGTTCTGAGAACAGTGTTTAAAGGATCTTGTTGGATAAGGTAACCTATTGAGAAATGAAAAATCAAATATACAATGTTGTAGAGCTTTTTGAGGCACGTCAAATGGTATGTAGTAAATCCTGTTTTCATAAGATTTTGAAAGAACTAGAATCAATTTACTGATAGACGACTACACACTCAAGCATGATAGATTCCTGAATATTGTGCTCCTTGGTATTAATCGAAAGTATTTGTAAAATATTTTTTCTCACGTACGATTTTGTAGAGTTTTTGACAGGTTACAAACTCATATATCTAGCATCTCCAGCCATCTTGATACACCATGTGACGCGTCTCAAAAAGCTCTACAACATCGGATATTTGGTTTTTCATTTCTAAATAGGTTACCTTATTCAACAAGGTCCTTTAAACAACGTTCGAAGAACTTTTGGTTGACCCTAAGTATATTCTACTGTGTATATTAACATCGACCAAAACGGAAACATTCAAGGACGGTAATAAGTTTCTTGTTACTTCTCCTAATTCTTTTAGAAGAAGCAATCGCTACCTCTTGTAATGCAGGCGTCCCGCCCATGTACTCACAGACACATGTTTTCAATTGATCAATCATTATTTTAATGAAAACCGTTGGATTATAGGTTATCAAGGTGGGTGTGGGTGTTAGTCTTCTATTCGTTCTCATCAAAACCCACATTCTATGCAATGTGGACAGATGAAAATAGTTTTTTTTTTAACCTGAAAGACCACAGGAAATTTCTCGAGCCTATATGCGGAATCAGCATAGTCAATAATTTATAATCTAATAGCTTTCATTAAAAAACAAATGATCGATCAGTGTAAAACATTGACATTTTTTTTCTATAAAAAATTTGATCAAAATCGATGTATTCATATTTAGGTGGTACAGGAATAATAAAACGACGAAAATCACTTGTTCATCGTCTTATTTTAAATGAACAAACATTTCTATCACCATATATGACATCAACATTAGAAGAAATATCTTCTTATCAATCAAATATTCTTTCTTATTTATCATGTTCAACATTCGATTGTCTTCGTAATCAAAGTATAATAAAAACAAATGATTTTTTACAATTAAATACATATTCAAATGATAATCGACATATGAATTATATATGTCCACTTGAAAATCCATTTCCATTTTATTCAAATTTATTAATTAATAATGATCATATGAATATATTACGTTTAAAATTTTTTCAACAAGGTCATCAACTTTTACCAGAAAATCTTTCAATATTTTTAACATCATCGTCATCAATTCTTCGAACAAAATTACCATTACAAATCGATATGAAAAATTCAATTATGAATAATATTATTGAATATTTATTTAATTATGCTTATATTAAATGGAATAAAACATCAAATCAATTTGATTTTGATGAACAAACATTAAATTATCATCAACAAATTATTGCACCATTACTTCAATATGTTAAATATATATCAAATGAGAGAAAAATTTTTTTTTT